TATAAATTTACTGCTTCCGCTTTTATCTCGTGTGGTTTTTTCTTTATTTTGGCTCCTATTTACCTTCCCTAGCCGTAACTTTACCTGCCGCTCCTACAGTATAAAGGGGTGGTCAATTGAACTCCAGTTGCAAGTCCCTGCAATCAGTTTTTGCGAGCGACATTAGGCTCTTGTGCTTGAAGCGATACGGATCTCTCCGCCATTAGGCAGGGACGCTAGGTACTTCCTTGTCCCCATGGAGCTAATCACGTGACGTAAAAATCCCTCTTGGCCGCGGCCGCGGCCGCAGCCGCAAGATGAGCAAACCGGCCCTGGAAAAGTAGCGCCAAGCTCCCCGTATGGTCGCCATGTTGGTCCGTGAATTGAGCAATTTGTCCTTGACCTCTCCGTTCTTGGTGAGCCGATCTAAATTCGCTGTTGACGGGTAGCTTTATGGAGAGTTTCTTGTATACCGAGATTGTGCTATCCGCACACCGGCGAACTAACCGTACATCTTAGTACCGCCACCACATGCTGTGTCGGTGCTTGGAGGCAGTGAAATAAAAATTTACTGTTTTAAAATACGCAAAAAAAAACACAATATAATTGTAAGAGATCCGCGGACATGGGCATGATTGATAAGATGACTGCATACACAGTGCCAAAGGCGCTTATATTGGCGATGAACGCTTCCAGTACAATGATGCTCCATGGTGATCTTGGCGCGACTGGTTTAGAACGGCCCTCTGGGCCCGTTTGCTCGAAGCGCTAACCGCGGCTAAAGTTAGCCGCAGTACCTAGGAGAGGGATTTTGAAATCACGTGACTTGCTCGGTAGGGATGAGGGGAAACATGGCGGTGCCCTGGTGAGTGAGCGCCGCTCGCTTTGAAACTAATAGAGAGTTTTAGAATAACGTACGCAATTTTAGCACACGCTAGCGCTAAATTTAGCGCTTGTATTAGCGCCCGCGAAGCAAGAGTGTTTTAGAATAGCGTTTCTCCGTCGCGACGCAAAAGCCCAAACATCTCGCGCTTGCGACGCTACCAAGATACAAACACAATTTTTATTTCACACACGAAATGATGTAACTTCATAAAGAAAAAAGTTCTTTGGTCCAGAGTACAATTTTAGATTTGTTTAAACACGAGAATGCGACGCGAGCGGTTGACCGGTCGTGCCCGCTTGCGTCGCCTCGGCAAGAGAGGTCTTGTGTACTGAAATTCGCACATCGCACCTTCGCCGAGAAAAATTCACTCTAAAAAAAAGGGGTGTAGAACTTACACCCAGTGGGGTGTATGTGACTTTTTCGCATATATACCCATGGGGTGTTCCCCATGGGTATATATGCGACACCCCAAAAAGGGGTGCATACATGCACCTCATTTGAGGTGCACATGTGCACCTCAGCGGGTGCATAAGACACACCCCACCCCGGAGTGTACATATATTCCGTTTCTCACTTACTGGGAATAATGATACACCCCATTTTTAGGTGTACATATATTCCGTTCCTCACTTGCTGGGAATACTGATACACCCCATTCTTAGGTGTACGTGTATTCCGTTTCTCACTTACTGGGAATACCGATCCACCCCATTCCTAGGTGTACGTATATTCCGTTTCTCACTTACTGGGAATACTGATACACCCCTCTTTTAGGTGCACATATATTCCGTTTATCACTTACTGGGAATACCCATACACCCCATTCTTAGGTGTACATATATTCCATTTCTCACTTACTGGGAATACTGATACACCCCATTCTTAGGTGCACAGATATTCCGTTTCTCACTTACTGGGAATGCGGTTGCACCCCATTCTTAGGTGTACTTATATACCGTTTTCCACACCCTTCTCACTAACTGGGAACCGATAATCCCCACTCTTAGGTGTACATGTGCGAAGTCAACAAAACTAACACTAGAACATTTTCCATCAAATTGACAGGAAATGTCTTTGCAGCTCTTTTCCAAGCTTTTAACCGTCAAACGACGGTGTTTTGTGCCATTTTTCATGTCCCATTTGTCAACCCGAAAACAATTAAGCTGCCAATCCCACATTCTATCGTAATTTCATTATATGGCCTGGCATCATTTTGACGTCCTACCTTTCAACCTGAAATACAATAGAGAGCTTTTGTGTCACTCCTGCGAATATAACATTGTCAGGATCATGCAATATTTTATAAAATAAGCTACGAAAATTGGTATCTGTTCCTACATATTTATTGCTCATAAACACTGGGTGAAACATATACTGCAAAAATACACATTTAATGCATGCACCAGAAACGTCGCTTGTTTCCTTTCTTCTTCTTTTTGCATGTTTTATCTTTTAGTCGTATGCCTTGGGTGTTGACCACCAAAAAGAGCCATGGAGCATTCCTGAAAAGCAAAACCCAGTTTTACACCATGATTAGATGCATATAGGACACTGTCAAGGCCCCACACCTTACTTAATGAGCATTACCAAAAACCAGGAACTCAGCCAACTTCATAAATATTTTGCACACCATTGAAGAATAGTGGGGTGGAAAGTTTACCACTTTAGATACAGGTGCAAGGCTGGAAAACCGAAAACACGGATAAAAAGCATGTGTTTTCAATATACTTAAACAACTGATTTTGGCGGTTTTCAACAATGCCAGCCTGTTTCTTATTGCAACTGTGTTTATTTTTTACTAATAAAATGCACAATTAGCCGAAAAATGCCATAAGCACCCTTGTACTCAGTGGCGGCTAACCAGATAAACGAATGCCAACATCAGAGGTGTCCTAATGGAAGCTTCCTTTAACAAAATTTTGGACCATCTAAAACAGTGCTCTCAAACACATTTGAGTGTAGAGGCCAGATAGCCCACCCCCAAAAGATGGAGGGCTTCTGTAAGGCATGGGGGTCAAGAAATTTGTTAAAGGGACCTTGCGCTCTCCACATTTTGTAATTTGCAATCTTGACAGTGACATTTTTAGCCGTGATTCATTTGTAGTGCTCCCCTTATCCCTTTCCTGATGCAATCACAAGAATTAAAGTGGTACTGCCGCCAACATACTGGCATTTTGTAAGAGGACAAGAGAACAAGTACACTGTTGTTGCCGTTGCTTATTTCACTCAGGATATATTCAAGCTCAACATGTCTCGAAAGAATGCCTTTTGCTTTTCTGAGAATTTCTGATAGCACCAGTCTGAGCGAATACTTGTATTTTAATGGTGATATTTTCTGAGGGCGAGAATTTAGAGTTCATGAATTTATCTTTGGTGGTTGCTTCTGACAAGCGAGAGTTCATGCAGTTGAAGTGCATCCTTGGGCAAAGAGCTCGTGGTTGCAGCCTACCAGCGGAATTGTCGTGCAGGTGCTAAATACTAAAAAAAAAAGGCGGGAAGGAAAAATAGAGACTAAACACCTGAAAAATAAAAACGAAACTACATTAACTATGTGGATATGTTATAAGGGCATAGCTACGTTTCCAGCGTAAATGAATAGACCGATCCCACCAAGCGTTCCACGCATGCGTGACCCCGCCATAACTGTAGTTCGTAGGAGGCAGACGCCAGTTCATGGGACAGCTCATGCTGCCTCGTGGTCTGCTCGCGCAAACCTCCAGCATGGTTGTCGCGCGTGTAGAAAGACTACAGCTCCCACGATGCATATCGGCAGCGGTGGCGTACTCAAACCAGCTGGTGAGATCGGTCTATTAGCGACATATTATAATGCATGCCATTTGTAATGCTCGTTATGAGAACGGGAGCTTGCAGCTGGTTTCCTGTGGGCCGTGTTCAAGCAAGTCGCTAGCTGCGTCTTCAAGCACTGAGCAGATTATTTTTACCCAGTTATCTATTTCCTGCCAGTGCATCATAATCTGTACAATGGTGAATATATTCTGAGTCACTACTTGAGAGCAGCACAGGCTAAGGCAATGCTCGAAGAGGGGAAAGGGCAAGCGCTAGAAAGGCGGGTGAGGAGAGTAACCTCCTCTCCTATCTAACATTCGTAGTGCTTTCCCCCTCTCCCCCAGCCCTGCCGTCCCCTCCCATATGCCTTCCTAGTGCTCGCCATTTCTCTCTTCGCATGGCCGTTGCATTCACCTGGGGCCCTAAACTCGTCGAACACAAAGTTGGAGCCGAAAGTTCGCGGAGTGCGCTGATTGGACGCTGACGAAAAAAACGCGAAGTCATCGTCGGCATAGTCGAATCGGAGCGCTCCGTGAACTTTGACCCCAACTTTGTGTTTGACGAGTTTAGGGCACTGCACTACACACAACTAGTGACACGGAGTATGATTGAAGGACGGTACACTCACAGATGTCAAAGCACTTGAAGAGTTCGCAACTTCGGTGCAATGCCACTGGTTGCACTTTTGTATCGCACTTCAGATGGGTTGATTTGCCCGAAGTACCTTGAAAATAATAAGAATGATAGAATAAATTAATGTGCCATAAACCAGGGCTGGGCAGACACACTCCAAAAACTATTCGGAAATACTGAGATACATTTGCTTTAAGGCCAAAAATACAGATACTGAGATACATTGTCTTTTATGCAAAGCTATATCCCCGAGACACTTCTGCGAAACTGGTGAAAAAGTATTCAGGAATACAGATACAATGTGTAGTTGTATCTGTATTGTAGAGGGTGTAGTTCGTGGGGAATATGTACGGTCAGTGGCGTTCCAACTTGTTTTCGAGTCACGAAGGGGGGGGGGGGGGGGGGGGGGGGGGCGGGGGAGTGCTCTTGGTATCTCTTGGGCGCCGCCGGCCAGTCTTTAACCTGCCTTGTGGCGGCTGTTTTAGGGGGGTGGCAGGGGGGGGGGGGGACAACACATGCCTTGCGCCCCCCTTGGCCCCTCCCCCTCACCGGTTAGTATGCCCATGTGAATGGTATCTATGCTTTGCTCCTTTTTTGTGCCATTTTATATGCTGTCCTTCTTACTTCGAACTCTATCATTAATGCCGCTAAAGAAAACATGTCGCCCCCGTTGAATCAAATAGTTACAAAATGGTAAAGACTGCGTACCATGCCTGACGAAAGGCGTCTGCCAAAATTAAACCTGTTTTGCCGTGAGGGCAGCCTGTGCATCAGAGATTTGAGTCATCAGTACATGTAATCTAACCAAGTACCAAGCCTAATCACACAATATAAGCGTAGCAGACTCACAAGTAAAGAAGAAAAAAAAACAGGGTCCACCGGATAGTCAATTGCTCACCTTGCCAGACGGTGCCTCGGGACTATGGCGGCATCTGCTAGGTGCAGAGCTTCTGGTCTGTGAATCAGAGAATAGGCATTAGCAAACATGATCTATCCAAGCACCAAGCCTAGTTTCACAAGATACGTTAACAACCTGAGAAAAAAAAAAACAGTCTGCAGCATAGTTGATTGCTTACCTTGCCAGACATAGCCTCGGGACTATGGTAGCGTCTGTGCTACAAGCAGAGCCTCTCGCCTGTGCATTAGATTACTCATTAGTATACGTGATCTAGACAAGCACCTAGCCTAGTCACACAATTTTACTTAGCAGCCTGATAAGTAAAAAAGAAGAAAAAAAGAAAATAGGGTCCGCAGGGTAGTGAATTGCTTACCTTGCCAGAACGTGCCTCGGGACAATGATGGCATCACTGCTAAGTGCAAATAGTCATTAGTAAACGTGGCCTAGCTAGGCACCAAGCTCAATTTCACAATACATGCATTCCGAACTAAAAAAAAAAAAAAAAACAGTGCCGGATAGTTGAACAAAAAGTTAGGGCGCAAACGAGCTGGTGTACATTGCACATGGTTGAAAAAAACCCGAGACTGCGGGTAAACGACACAACACTAAAAACTTTTTAGTGTTGTGTTGTTTACCCGCAGTCTCGGGGTTTTTTCAACCAGGATAGTTGGCTGCTTACCTAACCAGAAAGGGCATCGGGACTATGGTAGCGACTGTGCTACAAGCAGAGCCTCTCGCCTGTGCAGTAGAGATGAAAGTCATTAGTACACGTGACCTAAGCAAGGACTTAGCCTAATTTCACAGATTCAATTTCAGATGAGGAGCAGAATTTCGTCCCCTGCAGGAAAGCCGGTGCTCCGGGGTGAACGCGCAGCTCTGGCTCAGGGTTGGCAGGTTCGGCTATAAACAGCCCAATTGGGCTACTCAGTTTTGTAATAGGCAGGAAAATCTGGTGGTTGGCTATTAAGCTATTTCATACCCGATATTCAACAATTTTCAAAGCCTTAAACATGATATTTCTGCGCCAGGTAGAGAAAAACAATCAACTCAAGAGGTTAGGAAAGAAAAATATCCAAATCACAAGCGTGCAAATACAATATGTGGACCCTCATTGGTGTTGGTTGAGGAGGTGCAATATTGTTTTTCTGAAGTTTTTTGGCGCGATTTAATACCGCAGGCAGGGGTGGATGCACGTGTTTCCAGAAGGAGGGAGGAAGAGGAGTGGGAGCAGCTTAACGGATGTTTGAGAACCCCCTTCTTTCGCTGCACTAAAATATACATGGGGACGCTTTATCCTCTTATTGCCTTCTTCTGTAAATAATTGTCTTATGCAATGTATCATGTTACCCGTGTTCCAAAGGGATGTAAATACCTTGTATGAAATTTTATGTGTTGGGCTATTGTTATAGCCCGACATTTGGCTATTCTTGGGCACAATATCAGGAAATTTTGACGGGTTAATGTGCAAATACCTGGCAACACTGCTCTGGCTACCGTAGGGGGCCTACGCAGGAACTCCATGCTGCCCTAGAGTTCCTGCAGAGGCAGCCTACGGGAGTCAGGAGTTGCGCGTTCATTCCAGTAGCTCCGGCTGTCGTGCACTATAAGTCTGCCCCTCACGTGACTGAATTCGTGGAATAGCGGCCGCCGCGCTCTACCTACTCGTTTCCTGGAAAGCAGGACAGGAGGAGGCAAAAGCGGGGGTATGCACACCGCACACGTGATCGGATATCGGCAAATAGCGGCGCGGCGGCTCGTGGAAACCAGACGCGCAACTCTGGCTGGAGCCTATAATCTCAATGCTGTACTAGAGTACCAGTTCCTGTATAGGCTCTCTACGGGAGCCAGAGTTGCGCGTCTATTTTCTACGTGCCGCCGCGCCGCTATTTGCCGAGATCCTTCCACGTACCGTGCAAGAAAGTAACGTTGCACGCGCCCCGCCGTACGCACCCCTGCTTTTGAGCGCGCCGCGCGCCTCGTCGGTTCGAGAGTCAATGGTTCTAGTACCCCCTCCCTCTTCGTAGTGGCCGAGCAGGGAGGGAATATGGTTTCGTTGTGTCGACCTCGGGGGCGGAAGATTACGCACGATGGGACAAAGGCGAGTTTGGGGGAGCAGTATCTAGGTCACAGCGCCTCAATGGTTGAACAGGATGTAGCTGATGGTTTGGGTGTGGAACGGGTGGGAGAGGCCTTGGGGGCGCGTTGTTTCCTCGACACTTAGCCTCGTGTCGAGGTGGCAGCACATATTCGCCAAGAGGTCCAAAAGTCGCGTGAGGAGCTGGATCAACATGCCGTGCAGGAAAGACGGCGCTTCGAAGATGAACGCGCAACTCTGACTCCCGTAGGGAACCTATTAAAGAACTCTAACTGCCTTGTCCCGAAACGCCACCTTAGTTCCATCATCCCCACTGAAAATCGCATTGCATAACCATACGTGCGAACAAAGCCGGCAACAAGCGCGAGCATGTTGCTCTGCAATCGAACTACGTTTCACCGACAGATCGTTTTATAGATACGCGATGATTCATCGCCAGAATGCTTCATCGACAGCAAACTACCTTTTTTTCTGTAAGGCGCTGCCTCACACTGTTGCCACGAAGCGGATAGTACGTGCAGGATACACCCGCGACGAAATGTCCCTACAACGCTAAATCCGCGTAACGACTGTCGATGGAACGGTAGTGTCGACGAACGAGAGTCCATGAAACATCTGTCCACAAAAAGTGTTTTTTTGGCGAGACTATAGAGATCCGTTGCTCTGAATGACGCCAGCTCTACTCGCAAGAATAATGTCTCGAAGCTGCGATGTCGTGCTCGTTTGTACACTCAGAGAACCGGGCACCGCTACCGCGCACACATGCCACAAATACAAAAGCGAAGAAACTCTGACATAAACAGGAGAAAAAGGAAAGCACGTCCCCAGCTAGCAGGCCCCATGCCTCGCAAAACGCAGCATCCAACGAGCGCATGTAAACGGCAGACTTACCTTTATCGGGCGGGCACATCTTGGCTTGTGACTGCAGTGCAGCTACGTGCAAAGCATCGCTTCGTGAACACGATCCGCTTTGTCCAACCACCTTCTAAAAAAAGACGCAATTCAAAATAGCGCGAACGAACAAAGGCGATGTCACCCGCCAGCCGAAGCAAAAGTATGGCCGCCGAAACACGCCGAGATGGAATGCAGGAGGTGAGGAGGTCAAGTCTCCTAGCAACACGAAGGCCAGATAACGCGCGAAACGCGATCGCTATCGCGATAGGTTGTCAGTCGGATGACGTGTAACCAGTGACTGCTAATCAGGACGCGCGCTCTACTCTATTACTGCGCGCATTTTGTTTGTTTTCTTGCGCTCTCTTGATAGCACTCCCTCTCCCCTTTTTGAAAAAGGAAAGGGGGGGGAGGTGTAATGGTGCACCTGGCAACACCCTCGTTTCGCCCGCCGATTCCTTTGGGAGAGGATGATTCGCGTGATGGGAGTGCGATTACGCTCGCCGGCTGTCTCCAGTCGAAGGGGGGTGTAAGGGTGCGCGATACACCCACAAACACCCTTTTTTTCTGAGAGTGAAGTGTTCGCGCGTCGCAAGCATCAAGTTGCCGGTGATCGTTGCCAAACCGAGCCCAATTTCGTCTCGTATAGAAAATCGCAGTCGCGAGGATGCCGCCGACGTCGCACTCACGGCGCCGCCAAAGCAGCCGCCGACATAATCCTGGAAGCCGCCATTTTTGCATAACTGCTCATCTTGGCTTTAGCCAAATTCTCATCATGAATCCTCCTAGGAGAAGCGCAAAGCCTCTTTGCGTACGCACGCTATTTCCAAGAAATAGCGCACGCTAAAATTGCGCACGCAGAGCGCAAAACCTGGTTTGCGTTCGGAGCACACGCAGTGTGACGACGCTATTTTGTGTGTGCCCAAAGCTTTAGCATGCGCTATTCTAAAACTCCCTAATGTGTCTTTGTAGCTGAAATATCTGGCCCGTTAGTCAGTAACGAATAGTGCAGGAGGCTTTCGCTTTGTCTTACCTCACTTAAATCGCAAAGCATGAGAAATGACCTCGCCGCATTTTTTAGATAGTCTTTCGATTCCGGCCATCCCTAAGTCTAAATGAGCGCGATAATTGTCGGCATGGCAACGTCTTTGGAAAGCAGATTGTCTTGACGCAATCGACCGGGTATTGATAGCACACAAAAGCAGACAGCGTCCCAACAGACCTTTTTCTAAATTACCCAAGCATCGAGAAGAACGATGGAAGTGTAATTCTACGGTCTGCGCGCGCTGGCCTCCTCTTATAAAAGATTCGAAGTAAATAATTATAATAGGCTTTGACGAACGCACATGCAAGGCAACATTTTTTTTAGACTTTTTGCTTTAAAAAAATTACTACTGCAGACGCCAGCACGTGCAACGCGTGTTACTACATCAGTGGCGCACCAACTTGTTTTTGAGTGTGGGGGAGGGGGGGGGGGGGGCAAACCAGACACCCCCCCCCCCCCCCGGGTCGCATATTTTTACTAGTGATGAACCGAAATTTTGCCGAATTCGAAATTCGGCGCAACTTTTGACGAACTTTTATAAAGATTTGGCAATGATTCGACAAAAATACACTGTTACCAGACTTAACATTGATATTTAGTTTTTTCTTAACATAACCACAAGATATAGGTGTTATTGACACAGTTATGAACAAATAAGGTGATATTCTACAAGATAATTGTATCGATGTCGCTTTTGTGTTTGCTGGCAACTGTAGTGTTTGCTTGCGGAAAGTGGCGTGACAACAAGGTTGGTTAGTAGCCGGCGCAGTCACGAATCACGCTACGAGAGTTTTGATTTTGAGGCTTCATCAGCGCACGCCTGCAAGTGTGTTTACATTGTTAAAATAAAGCAATCACTGCTTTCTTACTTTCTTTGGGAGTCACCCTTTTGTGCGCGAAAAGGAATACAATGGTTGCTGAGCCTTCACCAGAAGAGATAACGATAATATTGTTAGGGTGATGCTGTCGGCAGCAGAAAGGATAGGACAGTACACGGTGATCGAACAAGCATACGATTTATGGAGGCCGAGCCGGCTCGTGGGGCCTGGCGCGAGATGGTTGTGCGCACCACTGCCCCGTCGTCGTCTTCACCTTCCTAACAGTACTCCCTCCGACGAAAACGGCGACCCGGCCGGTGAATAAATGAGCACATGAAGCAAACTTACAAAGTCACACACACAGAAGAACAAAGGACGACTGCCGACAGCGAGGGTGAGTATGAAGATGAAGACGTTGAATTTCGGCCTCTTCCGCAGCGTCACAGACCTCTGCACCAGCCACACGACGGCACGGTCCGGGCTGGGGGCTCACGTCACTGAGAAGCGTCGGGACGTCGGGGGCTGGGGATAGGCGCGGGGTATCGTCTGTCGGCTTCGTCTGATGCGGCTTCGCCTGATATTCGTCTTGTCATTGCGTCTGGGCGGGGGCTGGGCGACGGAGCCATGGCTGGTGCTTGGTCTGCTGCTGCGGATGACTGCCTCCACGAGGCGGGTTCACAAGATCATAGCGGCGTTGATGTTCAATGAAGGAGATGACTATGGCTCCGCACCTCCACCATACTGTTAGGGTGATGCTGTCGGCAGCAGAAAGGATAGGACAGTACACGATGATCGAACAAGCATACGATTTATGGAGGCCGAGCCTGCCCGTGGGGCCTGGCGCGAGATGGTTGTGCGCGCCACTGCCCCGTCGTCGTCTTCACCTTCCTAGCAATATAAATATGCATGCTTTTCGATTTCAGTCACTTGACGTCAGCGTTGCAAGAAAGCGTGCGTTCCATATTCGCAACGTGCCGTTTTTAAGCTTTAAAATTCCGGTTTCTGGTGTTAGGCAACACACGGACGTTTAGGAAGATGGCGACAGTTAGGAATGTCGGATGTGCAATGTCGAGCATGATAGTGCTGTGTTTAGTTTTATACAAATACATGGAAATCCCGAAATAACGCGAACTAAAAAGCAATATTATTCTATTCTATTCTTCTATTCTTCATGTAGTTTGTGCTGCTGCGGCCGAAGTTTTTTTCCGGCCCAGTGGTTTCTGCTGATTCGGTGGCTGCTCCGATCTTCGCACCGTCATCATCCAGCGCCGTCCCACATCTACACCTGGTGGTCATCGCAGCCAGTGCACCGACGTCATCAACATCGATGGAACCAGCAGCTGTAAAGCCAAAAACGGACCAACGACCTACCAGTGGGCGCGGCATCTCTGTCAAGAACATGCGGCTAAACCCACTTCTATTCTTCGTGCAGTTTGTGCTGCTGTGGCCGAAGTTTTTTTCCGGCCCGGTGGTTTCTGCTGATTCGGTGGCTGGTCCGACCTTCGTACCGTCATCATCCAGCGCCGTCCCACATCTACACCTGGTGGTCATCGCAGCCAGTGACGTCATCAACATCGACGGAACCAGCAGCTATAAAGCCGAAGACGGACCAACGACCTACCAGTGGGCACGGCAGCTCTGTCAAGAACATGCGGCTAAACCCGCTTCTATTCTTCATGCAGTTTGTGCTGCTGCGGCCGAAGTCTTTTTCCGGCCCGGCGGTTTCTGCTGATTCGGTGACTGCTCCGATCTTCTCACCGTCATCATCCAGCGCCGTCCCACATCTACACCTGGTGGTCATCGCAGCCAGTGACGTCATCAACATCGACGGAACCAGCAGCTATAAAGCCGAAGACGGACCAACGACCTACCAGTGGGCACGGCAGCTCTGTCAAGAACATGCGGCTAAACCCGCTTCTATTCTTCATGCAGTTTGTGCTGCTGCGGCCGAAGTCTTTTTCCGGCCCGGCGGTTTCTGCTGATTCGGTGACTGCTCCGATCTTCTCACCGTCATCATCCAGCGCCGTCCCACATCTACACCTGGTGGTCATCGCAGCCAGTGACGTCATCAACATCGACGGAACCAGCAGCTATAAAGCCGAAGACGGACCAACGACCTACCAGTGGGCACGGCAGCTCTGTCAAGAACATGCGGCTAAACCCGCTTCTATTCTTCATGCAGTTTGTGCTGCTGCGGCCGAAGTCTTTTTCCGGCCCGGCGGTTTCTGCTGATTCGGTGACTGCTCCGATCTTCTCACCGTCATCATCCAGCGCCGTCCCACATCTACACCTGGTGGTCATCGCAGCCAGTGACGTCATCAACATCGACGGAACCAGCAGCTATAAAGCCGAAGACGGACCAACGACCTACCAGTGGGCACGGCAGCTCTGTCAAGAACATGCGGCTAAACCCGCTTCTATTCTTCATGCAGTTTGTGCTGCTGCGGCCGAAGTCTTTTTCCGGCCCGGCGGTTTCTGCTGATTCGGTGACTGCTCCGATCTTCTCACCGTCATCATCCAGCGCCGTCCCACATCTACACCTGGTGGTCATCGCAGCCAGTGACGTCATCAACATCGACGGAACCAGCAGCTATAAAGCCGAAGACGGACCAACGACCTACCAGTGGGCACGGCAGCTCTGTCAAGAACATGCGGCTAAACCCGCTTCTATTCTTCATGCAGTTTGTGCTGCTGCGGCCGAAGTCTTTTTCCGGCCCGGCGGTTTCTGCTGATTCGGTGACTGCTCCGATCTTCTCACCGTCATCATCCAGCGCCGTCCCACATCTACACCTGGTGGTCATCGCAGCCAGTGACGTCATCAACATCGACGGAACCAGCAGCTATAAAGCCGAAGACGGACCAACGACCTACCAGTGGGCACGGCAGCTCTGTCAAGAACATGCGGCTAAACCCGCTTCTATTCTTCATGCAGTTTGTGCTGCTGCGGCCGAAGTCTTTTTCCGGCCCGGCGGTTTCTGCTGATTCGGTGACTGCTCCGATCTTCTCACCGTCATCATCCAGCGCCGTCCCACATCTACACCTGGTGGTCATCGCAGCCAGTGACGTCATCAACATCGACGGAACCAGCAGCTATAAAGCCGAAGACGGACCAACGACCTACCAGTGGGCACGGCAGCTCTGTCAAGAACATGCGGCTAAACCCGCTTCTATT